CTGGGGCTTTGCATCTCACCAGCTCTGTCTTTCTCTTCCCACGGCTTTCCGGGGACTCCCAGCATCACTCCTGGGTAGGTGCCAGCTCTGTCCTTGGCTCTGAGCTCGCTCTGTGCCAGGGCAGGGGTGTGGGGCAGTGCTCTGAGCCCAAGGGCCATGCAGCCCCGGGACTGGGGTGCCACCAGGGCTGACAGGGACCATCCTGTCCCACAGGTCACTCCCGCAGCATCCCCGACTCCTTCCTGGGCCGTGGTTATGACAGCTACGGTTACGGCTCCTTCGGTGAGTGCTTGTGCTGTGCCCCCCGTCCTTCACCCCCCTGCCCACGGGCCGTGCCCACCCTCTGCCTGTCCTTGCAGGGAACGGCTCCTCCAGCAGCACTGAGGGCGTCACGGACAGCCTGGGCTCCACAGAAGTGTCCTACAGTTACGTGGGTGAGTCGTGGGGCGCCTGGTGTGGCCTCAGCCCTGCAGAGCCACGTGCCCAGTGGCATCCTGGCTCTGCCCATCTCTGGGAAGGGTCCCGGGGCTGGCAGCCCCTCCGTGCAGCCCACAGCGGGGTCTCCATTGGTGCAGGGGAGCCCTGCTCCCGTAACTGTGGCTTTCCTTTGAAGGGCAGGAGCAGTTCAAGCGGCGCACGCCCTCCGCCCCGACGAGGCCGCTGAGCATTCCCATGGGTAGATGCTGGTACCGGGCAGGGTTGGGCCAATCAAAGGCGAGATCTGCCCAGCCCCAAGCTCGTGCCCGGGGCACAGAGCACCCCAGCTCCCCTCCCTCAGAGCAAAGGCAGTGCCAGGGGGCTGTTTGCCTGTCCCCCAGCTGTCCCCAGCGTGGCAGAGCCCCGGGGGACGGGCATGGGTGACGTTCACCCACCTGGCGCAGCCACCACGAGTCCCCCGGGCAGGGACAGCGCAGGGTCCGGGGGAGTGGAGCCTGTCCCCGGTGAGAGTTGTCAGGGAGGCAGCTGAGTGGTTAATTGGGTGTGATTGGGGTCCCACGGGGTGGGTGCCAGGGTGGGCTGGGCCAGGGGCTCCTCTGAGGCGCCGGCTCGGCCGCAGGGGAGCGGTCCCTGGAGAACGTGGCCTGCCGGCCCCGCCTGGACTCGCTCAGCTCCGTCGAGGAGGACGACTACGACACCCTGGCTGACATTGACTATGACAAGAACGTCATCCGCACCAAGGTGTGTCCCAGTCCCCGCCAGCCGCTGCCCACTGCCCCGACGACCCCTCACCAACCTCTCCTTCCAGAAATACCTGTGTGTGGCTGACCTGGCGCGCAAGGACAAGCGGGTGCTGCGGAAGAAGTACCAGATCTACTTCTGGTGAGTGGGGGGCAATGGGGATGGGGGCACTGAGCAGTGTCCCAACCCGGGGCGGGCAGCAGGGACCCCCTGACACCCCCCTGCCTCTCCCAGGAACATCGCCACCATCGCTGTCTTCTACGCCCTGCCCGTCGTCCAGCTCGTCATCACCTACCAGACGGTAAGTGGGGCAGGTTGGCAGCAACTGGGGCTCCCGGGAGCTCTGGGGGCTGCAGTCCCAAACCGTGCTCCCCAGCACAGTGGGGACATCCCTGGGGGTCCCCCCTGATTCTCACCCTGCCCGTGAATGCAGGTGGTGAACGTCACCGGCAACCAGGACATCTGCTACTACAACTTCCTGTGTGCCCACCCGCTGGGGAACCTCAGGTGGGTTGGGAGTGGCTGGGGGTCCCCTGTGCACAGGGCTGGGCTGTGGTGGGACCCTGAGGACAAGGGGGGGTCCACAGTACTCAGGTGTGGACTGGCCCCTCGCAGCGCCTTCAACAACATCCTCAGCAACCTGGGCTACGTCCTGCTGGGTTTGCTCTTCCTGCTCATCATCCTGCAGCGCGAGATCAACTACAACCGGGCGCTCATGCGCAACGACGCCCACGCCGTGGTAAGAGACTGGGGCCTGCTGGGGTGCCCCGGGGAGGAGGCTCAGCCCCCCAGGAACCCCCCGCTTCCCCTGCCCTCCGCCCCACAGGAGTGCGGCATCCCCAAGCACTTCGGGCTCTTCTACGCCATGGGCACGGCGCTCATGATGGAGGGGCTGCTCAGCGCCTGCTACCACGTCTGCCCCAACTACACCAACTTCCAGTTCGGTGAGTGCCCCCCGCAGCCCCCACTGCCCACGCCGGGGCCGCCCCCACACCCCTCTCACCGCTGTGCCCCCCCAGACACCTCGTTCATGTACATGATCGCGGGGCTCTGCATGCTGAAGCTCTACCAGAAGCGCCACCCAGACATCAACGCCAGCGCCTACAGCGCCTACGCCTGCCTGGCCCTCGTCATCTTCTTCTCCGTGGTCGGCGTGGTGAGTGGGGCGGGCGCTGTGTGTGGGGGGGGACACACACGTGGGTCACCCCCACAGCTCACTGCCCGCCCTACCCGCTCTCCCTGCAGGTCTTTGGGAAGGGCAACACAGTCTTCTGGATCGTCTTCTCTGTCATCCACATCTTGGCCACGCTGCTGCTGAGCACCCAGCTCTACTACATGGGGCGCTGGAAGCTGGGTGAGGGCAGGCACCGTGAGCAGGGTGGGTGGGGGGCAGCACAGTGGGCCCCCCCAGTGTCACCTCCCCTCTCCCCACAGACTCGGGCATCCTGCGCAGGATCCTGTACGTGCTGTACACAGACTGCATCCGGCAGTGCAGCGGGCCCATGTACGTGGTGAGTGCTGGCACCGGGGCCCCCCTGGCTCTGCAGACACCCCTCCTGGCAGCCCCTGCCCCAGAGTGGCCGCCCGCCACCCCTCACAGCCCCCCTGCCCTTTGCAGGATCGAATGGTGCTCCTGGTTATGGGGAACATCATCAACTGGTCACTGTAAGTGCGGAGCCAGACCCCACCCTGCTTCTCCCTGTCCCTGCCGCTGCCCCCACCCTGCTCCTGCCATCCCTCTGCTGGGGCTGGGCTGAGGACAGCCAGCTCGTGGCAGCTGTGAACCCAGTATGACAGGTCCCCCTGCAGCTGTGGCACCCAGGTGCTGCCTGACCTCCCAGGGGTTGCTGGCATGCCTGGGGGGCAGCGGGCACACGGGCACCACGGGGGGCCCCAGGCTGTGCTGACCCTGCTGCCTGTCCCTGCCTCCCCAGCGCTGCCTACGGCCTCATCGTCCGCCCCAATGACTTCGCTTCCTACCTGCTGGCCATCGGCATCTGCAACCTCCTCCTCTACTTCGCCTTCTACATCATCATGAAGGTGGGAGCTGAGCCTCCGGCCCCCACAGGCCTGGCAGGGAGGGCAGGGCAGGGCAGGGCAGGGCAGGGCAGGGCACTCTTGCCAGCTCCTGCCTGCACAGTGACGCCGGGCTCTCCCGCAGCTCCGCAGCGGCGAGCGCATCAAGCTCATCCCCCTGCTCTGCATCATCAGCACCTCCGTGGTCTGGGGCTTTGCCCTCTTTTTCTTCTTCCAGGGGCTCAGCACCTGGCAGGTGAGTGGGAGGGTGACCCAGGCAGTGGGTTGGGCAGGGTGGCCACGGGTGGGCACAGTGACACTGGCCCTGTCCCCAACAGAAAACGCCAGCAGAATCTCGGGAGCACAACCGTGACTGCATCCTGCTCGACTTCTTTGACGACCACGACATCTGGCACTTTCTCTCCTCCATCGCCATGTTCGGCTCCTTCTTGGTAGGTTCTGGTTCTTGCAGCACAGCAGACCCTGCCCCTGCCCCCAGCTCACTATTCCCTGCTCCCCTCGCTCCCCTTGCTCCGCAGGTGCTGCTGACACTGGACGATGACCTGGACTGTGTCCAGCGGGATAAGATCTACGTCTTCTAGGAACCCGCAGCCTCACGCTGCCCTGGGACTGTGCCAAACGCCTGGCTGCAGCCCCGGGAGGGGGGACCCACCCCCGGGGAGGGATGTCCATGCTGCAGGTCCTGCCAGCCACTCCGTCCCCCTCCCCACTCAGCCTGGGGGTCCTGGTGCACCTCCTCCCTGTCAGCCGGGTCCCTCCAGGCACTATGTGCCCATCCCTGGACCTTTTGTGGCCAAAAACAGGGCAAGGGGGCCACTGGGGCACTGTCCTCAGTGGCAAGTGACACTGGAAAAGGTGCTGCTGCTCCGTGTCCCTGTGCCCGTGGGAGCAGCGAGGGATTGTGGCGAGCGCTGTGCCAGCAGCCCCGTGGCCCCCCGAGCTCGCGGGTGTGGGTCTCTCTTCAGTGCCTGAGTCGTATGGGTGGGAGGTGGGGGTGTGTGGGGCCAGCACAGTGGTGGCAGTGGCCAGAGAGGCCCCACTCGTGTCTCCTGCAGTGTCCCAGGTGGGGGGTGGCCGTGGCAGGGCCCTGTTGCCGCTCCCACCGAGGTGCCACGCGCTGTGTGCGCGTGGATCTGCTGGGAAGGGACTCGCATTAAAGTGTCTGCACTTTGCCTCTGCTTCCTGCCTCCTGCCTGGGCAGCAGGAGCCCGGGGGGGTCCCGAGGGGCAACTACCACAAAGCTCCTGGGGGCCCCCGTGGCATCCCAGCGCGGTGCCAGGGCTGCTGAGTGCCCCGCCGTGCCCTGACCCGCTCCAACTGGTGCCCGCGGGGCAGAGGGAATCCCGGGATGCTGCGGGATGCCCAGGCGCGGTGCCCGCGGGATGCCCCAGCAGTCCCGGCCGGGCTCCGTGGGCGATGGGTCACCACGGGGACCCCTCTGGGCCGCCCCGGCTCCCGGCGGTGAGCACATGGGGAAACCAGCCATGAAGTCAGGGCGGGAGCCCTCTGCGCTGCCGCCTGGCTATAAAAGGATTTACTCCATCAGCCCCCGGCCCGGTTCCGCCCCGGCCCCGGCCCTGCTGGGGCGGAGGCACGCGGGGAATGCTCGGGCACGGGCTGTCGTCGCTGGTTTTCGGAGTCTTTCCCCAAATATGGTGCCTGGGCTGGAGTCATGGAGCGCTGCGGGGCCGGGCGCCCCGGGAGGGAGGGCCGGGGGGGGCCGGGCCCCGCGCCCCGCTGACATCACCGTCCCGCCGCCCGCCTTTTAGCGCAAGGTCGGGGTCCCCGCGGGGCAGAGCGCTGGTCCCGCGCCGAGCATCGCCCTCGCTCCGTCTGCAGCCGCTTGTGAGTCCTGCCGGGGGGAAAGGCGGGGGAGGGGGCGGCGGGAAGGGTGCCCGGATTGCGGATGTCAGCCCCTGGCATGGGGGTGCTGGCCCCCCCGGATTGGGGATCCTGTGCCTGGGATTTCGAAGCCGCTCCCGGGACTGCGTTCTGCTCCCTAAATGATGGGGATTCTATTCCTGCGGGTGGGATGCAGCTCCCCGGGATGGGGATGCTGCTCCCCGGATTGCACCGCTGCTCCCCGGAGGAGGGTCGGGCTGCCCTGCTCGGGCTGGGGTCGTTGCCGGGGTTCTGTCCTGCTCCTGCCCCTCAGGACCGCGTTCCCATCGGGGCTCCTTGCTACGGCTCCACCGGGCTCGGCCCCGCGAGGTCCGGAGGGGCCGTGCGGGGCCCAGGGCAGAGAGGAAGGGGCGAGTCCACCCCCCACGTGTCCATTTCTGCCCCGTGTCTCGCAGCGGGCTGGCGGGGCCGGGGGTAGCTGCCGGGCACTGCCCGTGGCCGGGGGAGCCGTGGGTCTGTGTGTGACCCCTGTGTGCCAGCCCGGGCCAGGGCACAGCGCGGGAGCGGCTGTGGCATCGCTGGACGTGCCCAGCTGTGCTGGGTCCGGGCACAGGCTGCCCGGGGGGCTCGTGGGGTACCCCTGCACGGCTGGCAGCAAGCCGGGGCAATGAACTGTGCCAGGTCTCAGCCCGTCCCGCAGGAGCTGCAGTGCCCACGGCCAGCGGTCAGGATGAGCCCACGGCAGGCAGGGCGTGGGTGTGGGACCGAGCACACGGCTCCCGGAGGGCACAGCCCTGGGGCTCAGAGGCTTCATGCCAAGCAAGGACCTGTGCAGGGAGGAGCGAGGCCAGCTCCACTGAGGGCTTGGCTGCCACTCATGGTGCCTCTCCCTCCTGGAATCCTCCCTGGCATCCTCCTTGGCATCTTCCCTGGCACCTCGGGCCCTGCCCGCAGCCAGCTACCTGCCATCACTGCCACAGCATCTCCTTACAAGGGCACGGGCACGGCTCCCACCGCTCCTGCCTCGCCCACACTCCTCCCTGGCACCCGGACCCACCACACCAAGGCTGCCCCGTGGGCACCCTGCCCTGCCATGGTGTGGCCACCATGCTGTGACACAGCCACCCAGCCCTGCCATGGTCACCCTGCCACCTGGATCCTGCCACGGCCACTCCAGGGATGTTTGTGCCAACCAAGGGCTGGCAAGGGACAGGGATGAGGCTGCTCCTGTGCATAGCCTGAGCCAGGGAGTGAGGACAAGACACCTCTGCCAGGACAGGGACCATCCGTCTGGGCAGGTTTTGAGGATCATGACCTCCAAACACTCCTGGATGGAGCAAGGGAAGAGCCAAGAGAAGGGCATGTCCTTACTGCACCAGGGTGGGCAGTGGATGCCACAGGGATGCCGCAGAGTCCCTGGGTAGGGGGACAGCATCTCCTGACGGTCTCTGTGGTGCCGCCAGGTCTCCCAGCACCGCAGCCATGGCAAACAAAGGCCCAGCCTATGGCATGAGCAGGGATGTGCAGTCCAAGATCGAGAAGAAGTACGATGATGAGCTGGAGGACCGGCTGGTGGAGTGGATCGTGGCACAGTGCGGGTCCACCGTGGGTCGCCCCGAGCGGGGCCGCCTGGGCTTCCAGGTCTGGCTGAAGAACGGCATCGTAAGTGGGGTCCCGGCTGGGGTGGCTGGCGGGGGGCTCTGCAGTGTTGCAGCAATCCCAAGCTCTCCTCTGTGGCAGGTGCTCAGCAGGCTGGTGAACAGCCTCTACCCTGACGGCTCCAAGCCCGTCAAGATCCCCGACGCGCCGCCCACCATGGTCTTCAAGCAGATGGAGCAGATTGCCCAGTTCCTGAAGGCGGCCGAGGACTACGGTGTGACCAAGACAGACATGTTCCAGACCGTCGACCTCTTTGAAGGTGCGGGGAGGGGAGGCATTTGGGGCTGTGGGATCCAGGGCTGCTGTGCCAGGCCCTTCCTCACATCCCTCCCTCCGTCCCTTGGCAGCCAAGGACATGGCAGCGGTGCAGAGGACGCTGATGGCCCTGGGGAGCCTGGCGGTCACCAAGAATGATGGCAACTACCACGGGGACCCCAACTGGTTCATGAAGTAAGTGGGGGAGCCCAGAGCTGGGTGTGAGGACCCCTTTGCCCTGCGGCTGCCCAGAGCACCCTGGAGCACATGGAGGTGGCACGCTGGGGAGGGAGAGGGGCTGGGGCACCCCTGGGGATCGGGGGGCGGGCCGCTGATCAGCCGGGTGGGTGCGGGTGCCCCACGATCCCCCCCTGTGCCCCGCAGGAAGGCGCAGGAGCACAAGCGGGAGTTCACCGAGAGCCAGCTGAAGGAGGGCAAGAACATCATCGGGCTACAGATGGGGACCAACAAGGGGGCGTCACAGGCGGGGATGAGCTACGGCCGGCCCCGGCAGATCATCAGCTAGGCACCCCCCCGCCGCCCCCAGCCCTCCCCAGCCGGGACCTCCGTCTCCGCTTCCCCCCCGGCCCAGCGCCGCAGCCGCCCGAGCGTCGGCGGCCGCCACCAGCCCCGCACCGATTGGTATTTATTGAGGAGCAAACGCCCCCAAACGCCAGCCAACAACGCCCCAGCGCCAGCGGCCGCACGCGCCCCGCAGAGCCCCCCGCCCCGGGGCCGCAGCCCCCGCGCCCAGCCCCGGGCAGCCTCTGCCCCCGGGCCTCGCACCCCCCGCCAGCCGGTCCTGCCCCCGCCGGCACCCACGGGTGTCCCACGGGTGGGATGGGCACGCGCCCCGGCCCACGGGGCGGCCCCCCCTGCCCGCAGCCCCCCCCCCCACGAGCCCCGCGCCACTGCTGCAGAGATCCCTGCGAACGGGGAGACAAAGAGAACTGGGCCTCGGTTTTGTACTTGGTTTTTGTCGAAATTAAAAGGTTATATTCATCTAGTTGTGGCCTGACGAGGTTTCCTCCCGCCTGGCTGGTGACGCTGGAAAAGCTGAAGCCACCCTCCCTAAAAGGCCACACGGCTGCTCCTTCTTCCAGCTCCAAACCTGGGAAAACCACAGCTGCGGATCAGGCTTTCCCTGCCCGCCTTGGAAGACTCTGCCCTCTCCCACCTGAGGCTCAACACCCACCTTCCTCTTCACTCTTCGCAACACTCTGGCCCAGCCCTCGCCTCTCCCTGCCTGGAGCAGCCCCCTGTTATCCCAACTCCCGGGATCAGGGCATGGAAGGCACACAGACCCACACCCCAGCCAGGCCCCGGTGCTGGGAGGGGATGGGTGATGCATTTTTCCACAGTGAGGAAGCTCTGGGAGGGCAGAGGAGTGACGGATGGGGGGAGAGGAGGGTTTTTCAGGCTTTATTTGGAAAGCTACACAAAAGGGCTTTGCTGATTAAAAAACAAACCCCAGCCTTTAAAAAAATAAACCACCAAACCCAAAGACATGTGAACAAGCCAACCCAGCTCAGATGAGCCACTGCCAGAGCAACTCATCCTCCCCTCCCTGGCCCAAACCAGGCATTGCTCCTGGTTTTGTCCCTCCTGGATGGGGAGGGAGATCTGGGACAGTGGCCCCAGCGAGCTCTGCTGCCAGAGGGACTCCTGTGCAGGAAGAGCCTCATCCTGTCCTCCCACAAACAGGCCTGTTCCTGCTTCCCCAGCCCCACAGCTTCTCCATGCCCAGGGGAGAGGAGGAACCAGCAGGATCAGAGCACAGGGGACAGGGAGAAGCGCTGGTTGGAGATGAGTAAAGTAGCTCCCTGCTTCTAAACTGGGATAACTGGTGGGCACAGTCCACTGCCAGCCCAGTGGGCATGAAGATGCCAATGCTGTGGGGTCCCTGCCTGGAGAGGCACCTTCCAGGGCCCTGCTGGGTTTTCCAGGCTCTCTGCAGAAATCAGGGACAAAGGGACATGTCTTGCCTGCGCTGCCAGGCTTGGAAGCAGTGGTGTGAAGGGGGTCAGTGTGGAGCTCTGCCACAGCTACCACGCTCCCAGCAGGAATGGCACAGGGCCCTGCCCCACACACAGCAGGGCAGGCTCCCTCAGGAAGGGGTTTAAGGCTTGCTTTGTTTTCCAGAGCGAGGGAAGGGGAGCTCCCCTTCCAGTACCCGCACTCTTTCACGCTTGTTTCCGAGCCACTTCCAACACCACCTTCCACAGAACACAGTGGCAATGGTCCACGCTGGCTCAGGAATGAGTCTGTGCTGTCCATGCCCAGGAGGGTTGTACCACGAGGGAGGGCCCCAGCCCAGCCCCAGTCCCAGTCCCAGGCCCAGTCCCAGTCCCAGTCCCAGTCCCAGTCCCAGTCCCAGTCCCTGTCAGCACGGCCGGTGCTCCCGGTCCTCCACGAGGAGCTCAGCCGGTGCCTCCCGGCCCAGGTATCCCGCTCCAGCGGGAGCTGCCTCCTGGAAACTCACAGCTCTGCCATTGCTGGGCAGTTTGGGGTGGGTGGGGGTCCAGGACCCCTCCTCTCCATCCTGGACAGGCTCTGGGTGCTCACAGTCCATCTCGGCCTCCTCCATGTCCTTCTCCCGGTACAGCGGCACCGACTCCATCTCCAGGCCGCTCTCCAGGGCTCGGTGCTTCCCTCCCTGCTGGTACCACCTGCAGCTGGTGGGGCTGGAGCAGGTCAGGTCCAGCCCCACATCGTTCCTCGTCAGGCAGACCTCCAGCATGTAGTAGAAAGTCCAGAACACGGCGAAGCATCCCAAGAGCAGGAGGGTCTATGGAGGGGAAACCCCTTGAGAAACACCACCCTCGACTCCCCCCACGCCCGGCCCACTGCCCAGCAGAGGGGTCACAGTGTCCCAAGCAGGGTCCTGCTCCTCCAGCCCATCCTGGGGGATACAGAGACCCCCTGGCCTGCAGGCAGGCTCACCTTGAGCGTGTTGGCTGTGATGGTGTAGTGCTGCTCCTCGGGGATGTCCAGCCCTGGGGGACAGGGCAGGGAGAAGTTGCTGTTCAGGTACTGCCCACTCATGGCTTCCTCCAGCAGCCTGGGGACAGAGGCACCCCGTGAAGGTCCCAAAGGCAGAGGGGCTCCAGGGAGGGTCCCAAATGCCCACCAAGGGTCTGCAGAGCCTCTGTCAGCAGACAGTGCTGTGTTCTGCTCCCTACCGAGCCAGGACTGTGGTGTCCTACCTGTGCCGTTCCTTCATCTCTGCTGGGGACCAGGAGGAGCCGTACAGGGTCAGCTGCCACTGCTTTAAGGTGCCGGGCCTCAGGCTCTCATCTCCTGGGAAAGAAGCAGGTTGGTCCAGCGGGGAACTCTCCCGAGTGATGAGCTGGCAGCTGCTCAGAACTGGTAGCCCAGAGCTGCCCCCACCCCAGGAGTGCCCCTGGCAGGCAGGACTCACCGATGTCCCTGACCACCAGCCTGTACGTGCCCTGCGCCTCCTCGCCCCAGCATCGCACCGTGGAGAAGGTCCAGTCAGAGAAGCCATTGGGGTCCCTGCCGAGAGGTGAGAGGGTGACAGAGCCTGAGCCATGAGGCTGACTCAGGGTCCTGCCCTCCCCTGACCCCTCAGTGCTTACGAGTCCATGCTCCGGGTGGTGCCGATCAGGGACATCATCCCACTGGGGCAGAAGAGCCTGATCTCCAGGTTGCCACGGCGGGGGTGGGTTATGGTGACTGTGACTGCCACGTGCTCCAGGGTCCTCATGCCAGACAGCTCCAGGTCGGCAGTGGTGACTGGGAGAGGGAAGGTGGGGTTTGCTGAGGCTGGTGGCCCCAAGGGGCTGTGATGCCATTTAACAGGACCTGTGTGGGACTGGGACAAGAGACTGGGTGTCTAGGTTCCCCGATCCCATCTCAAACCATTCCCAGCTCCACAGATCCTCACAGCCCCAGAGCTGCCAACCACAGCCCAGGGAGCCTGGCACACTCCAGAGCGAGCTGTGGCCGTGGCTTGGCCTGCTCCTGGCAGGTGGGTGCTCCCTGCGTGCACCTCTGCCAGCAATACAGCTGGGGCACTGAGAGCTGCAGGGCCAGACCCCCAGGACCAGCATCTCCAGTGCGGCATGGAGGGGGAATGTGGCTCAGCCTCAGGGCAAGGAACTGTGCCCAGCAGAGCCAGGAGCTGCTGGGGGGCCGGGAAGGGCTTGGGCCGAGCTCTCCTTCCCACTGGTAGCAGCCTGAGCAGCGCCTTGTTGATGTGGACAGGGCTGGCCAAGTCGGGAGCTGGAGCATTACCTAAAATGGTCAAAGGCAGTGGAGCGGCTCTGGCCGCTGCCCAGCCCGTCGCTGAAGCCTGTCTGGCTCCCCAAACACATCACTCCATGGGATGGGGTTATGGGGAGGGGACGGCAGCAACAGGCAGATCCCCTGGGGAAGGGCAGCGGAAAGAGAAGAAAAAGCCCAGGCAGCCCAGCACTTAACCCCTTCGTGGCCTCACACAGCCCAGGGCTGGCCCTGCCCCATTGGATCCCTGGCCTGGGTGTGTCCAGCACGTGCTCTCCATGGCACACCTGCTCTTACCATTCCAGGCGACCTCCATCTCCTGTGGGAGCAGGGGGATGCTCCTGCCCTCCTTCAGCACGGGGCTCACGTACGAGGCGAGGTACGGGACAGACTCCCAGATCTGTCAGAGGGGAGAGGATTCAGCATGGATTGCACCCTCCCTGCACATCCATCCCTCAGTCTCCTGGGGCTCTCACGAGCTGCTCCTGCATGTGGGCCCAGGCCAAGGCTGTTTTGGGGCACACAGAACTGGGCAGCACAAACTGGGAGCTGTGAGCACTCAGGGGATGGGAGCAGTGCCCACACACCCAGGAGAGCTGCAGGGGGGTGAGCAAGACTTGGGACTCCCCAGCTCTGGGTCTGTCCCCACCATCACCAGGGTGGCTTTGAGCGGTTACTTGAGGCCATCCCATCCCAGCCCTGGGCACAGCGGGGCAGGAAGGGGGAGCAGCGTGGAAGTCCCTGTGACACTGGAGGCATGGCTGGCAGCGGCAGTGACCCAGCACAGCTGCCCAGCGCTCCACACACGAGCTGGGACCGAGTGCCAAAGGGACGTGCCCCGGTCTCCGTGTGACTGGAGCAGGAAGAGATGGGGATGCCGCCGCCTGCCCCGACCACAGCACTCCCCCAGAGCTGCCAGCTGAGAACACCCTGCTTCTCAGGGCAGGACACCCTCCCTGCAGCCACTGTGGAGGGAGGAAGGAAGGTGCTGGGGCTGCTGACAAAAGTCCCCACACTGTGAATCAGAGCTGTGGGCTCCCAGCAGCTCTCACCATGGCTATATATAGTGCTGGAGAGCAGCGGCCCGGGGGCAGCTCAGGCACTGCCAAAAGCCTCATGACTTCATACCAAAAGCAGCCTCAGAGCCAGGGCCAGCAGGACGGTGGCCAAAGCATTGGCCCTGAACGGCAGCAGTGTAACCCCCATGGCGTTGCCAGGACAGGATGTGTCCCAGCCACTGGGCTGGGCTGCTCTACCTGCCCAGAGGGCAGGTCTGGGAAGGAGGGAATTACCTTGGCAGCGTTGACCAGCCTCCAGGCGTTCAGCAGGCCAAAGCCATGCTGATGGCTGTGGCTGAAGCCTGCCTGGTTCCTGTCCCACTTAGCGTGACGGTCCTCGTACTGCAAAGAAACGTGGGGTGCTCTGGTTACCTTGGGGTCTGTCAGCCCTGAGACCCAAAGGGAACCAGGCCTGAAGGGGAAGAGGCTCAGACACAT